TTTTCTCAGAAAGTTTTTTTTGGAAGGATCTGCTGAGTACACAAATTTTTAGACCCATCTAACCCCACTAAATGGCAACGGCGAAGTGAAACCTGGTCAGCTTGGTCTGCTCCAGATCCGTGTCTATTATGGAAGCACATTTATGGGCTATGCACCGGACACTAAAGGAAAGGAGAAATGGGTAGACACTGGGTAAGATGTAACTTCATTACTCTCATTGTTTTGGATGACCGATTTTGCGAAAATCAAGTAAGTCCTCCATACTTTTTGAAAAGCTGAATGATTTAGAGATGTCGCTCGTAAGGATGAAGAAGGTAGCATTGAGATTGTGGCCAACAAGGAGGATCTTATCTATGACAATAATAATGGATTAGTGGAGCACTGGAACATTGAGCGGTTACTGAACCAGAATGAGCTCATTAAAGGCGTACAGGTAAGATATTTCGACTAGCCTTCTACCCGTAGATTCCCACTACCATGAAAAGAAATTGACTTTTTCAAGCAAACAAATTCAGTCTATACGAGAAAAACGGATGCATATATCAAGTTTCAGTCTATCACTAGTAAGAATTATGGCGAATCAGTTTTACAAGAATTTGACTGACAGACTACAACTGAGATATTTTGATATCGAAGGGTATTTCTTAAGAAATTCTTTTCATTTATCTAGGTTTCACGGATGCCACTCTCTTTCGAAACTCATAACTTCAATTTTGCATGAGATTTTTCAGGTGGTATCTGTAGGACGAGGTCAACCAGTAACAGCAGTATGCGTCCTAAGAAACAATCAAGCCGACACTTCCGAAGTCAAGACTGCACTTACAGCGATGTGCAAAAAACATGTGGTACGCAAAAACCTCCTTATCTAAATGATAATTTTGCTACATAATGCTTATTTCAGTCACCTGTACCTGACAAGTTCGCTTTCGTGCATGATTTCCCACGGATACACACGAAAATACAAAAGTATCGTATTCGAGAAATGCTGAGGGAAGGCCGAATTACAGTGATGTGATTGATTGTTATGATGTATATTGCTCATTTGTTACATTGTATATGATGATTTACTCGTCAATAAAGGCAGCTCTCAAGATTTGTTCGTAGCCGAGAAGTTCAACTTCATATTTTCTCCGACCGCACTTTTTTGATTAAAAGATTCGAATATAACTTTATTCTAATTAAAAATCATACTCATTTTGCCAAATGCGATTAACCCCTTACTTGTGGTGTAACAAATATTTAAACACTAAATGTTTCCATGCTATATTTCGAGTTATCCAAAAGTAATGGGGCACCTTAATCCTTACAATTCCAATTTCTTTCTCAAAGATAGACATTAGCAATGTGATTTTGTCCCATAGATTTGAAAAAGTGTGCCTTTTCGTTGTAAAATGCACGCCCTAGGGTTTCTTGGATTTTTAGTCCCGGTTTTCTGCTATATACAGGGTGGTCCACATAACCGTGACG